CCTTCATAAGAACCAGCTATTTCCATGAATGAGTCACCGAATGTGAGTGACTCTGGTGCATCATCCGGCGAATCAACGCTGTATGAGACTGCTGACGATAAAGAGGCATTGTAGGTCGCGCGATCCCTTGTAGAAGACTTAGTAAGATAGCTTGCAGTACGAAGACGCCGCGTTTATCTCACTGCGTTGTGCCTCCGATTCGAATGGGCGAGTAAGATCCCGCTGCATCGTGCAGTTGCCCCAAACAAGAATTTGTCAAGGATAGTTGCTGGAAGTATTCTGGGAAGGCAAAAAACTCGAACCTTATTATAGTCAGGAATCAGGTCTCTTGCAGTAAATCATGTTGACGTACGAAACGCCCACAGGAGCAGCGTCTAGCTGACCACTGGAGTTCGCTGGAGCTGACGATGGGATTTCAAAACCGAGGCCATTGACTCCGCTCCCAGCAACCAGCAGAAGAGCTGGAGCAATGAGAGCATTCATTCTGATGCCAGACATGACTGAGATCCCAATTGAACTGTACATAACGCGATCTTATCTATGCTCTTAGCAAGGGAGTACTTGCTCAACGGTCTCCAGAAATTCCGTATTTCAATTTCCGCAGTCAACCGAATCGATTCCTCGAACCCATACATCCACCGGAGGTGCCATCGGTTATTATGGAGTCAGCTCGGATAAATTAAGGTGAGGGGGCGATCAAACATCGTCAGAGTTTATTCAAGACGACCTGTGAATGGCCAGCCATCGATGGACACCGGCGGAGATCGCTGTCATTGCGGGGGCGGGACAGTGACGAATGGATCAGGAGTTCTTCCACCAAACATCAGCTGGACTGGCGACCAGCTAATAGACATGTTCTTAATTGTGTTGTGCAAGAGCGATTTGAGAAGGGGAAGATATGCTGGGAGGGAAAATGCTCTGCCGCAGTCTTTTCTCGATCCCGATCAGGCCAGTCCACGTGCCTCGAGAAATCGCCTAGTTCTCTAGCTGAGAGTCTACCCCATCGAAGAGTCCGCATATCACCCGAGCCAGAATACTCGAGAGGTGTTTGCTACTACTGAATAGATCATGACTATTCCGTCAATTACTACTCTTGGGGTCGACCCCAATACCACGCACCGCCTAAACGCCTGTGCCTATCAGCAGTCAGCAATCACAACTTCGGACAGCATCCAGTACGTGGCCTTTTATACCTCGTGGGAAGGATCGGACTCTAGAAGAGTTACGATTGCACGCCATGATGTTCGGGACCCTTCATCCGACTGGCAATACTTGACTTTCGAAGATTACAACCAGACGACCGATGACGGACATAATACCATATCCATCGGGATCTGTGCTGGTGATAGAACGATTCATGTGTCGTTTGATCACCACTGCGATGCACTGAAATATCGCATCTCGCGACCAGGTCTGGCAGCCGACCCAAGCGAGTCGAGTTGGACGGCAAGCAACTTCAGCCCGATTCTAGATCATCTACCCGGCTGCGACGGTCTGTTGGACGTTACATATCCACGATTCATACCTGCTAGAAGAGACATGTATTTCGAGTGTCGCATTGGAAAGTATGTAATGCGCAAAACCTAGGAGAAGCAGAATCTGACGATCAGCCCGTAGAGCAGGTGCCGGCTCCGATGTCCTATATCGCTACAGTCCTGACACTGCGCAATTCGTCCAACTGGGGACCTATCTAATTGGAAGACAGTGTAACCCGTATCCAAATGGGTTATCTTATCATCTATCAACGGATAGCCTTCACGTCACTTGGACGAACCGACACTTTATCGAGTATGAAGGAGCGAACGACTGTGGTTCCACAGCCCACAAAGCGCAAGCTGGACCTAATGGCCCCGAGAATAACGAAGGGCTATATTATGCATACAGTCGGGATAATGGCACTACATGGAGCGGGTCGAACCAAAAGTCAGTGGCTATCTTGTCAGCACGTCCAGGGACCGGACTCGAGTCCCAAGATAGCCGGCTACTCGTCAGGGATATCCCTAGAAACAGCGGTATCATGAATCAGGAGGCACAGTACGTTGACTGCGAGGGAGGAGTGCATATATTGAATCGAGAGAACACCACCGGAAAGGAAACATGGATGCACTACTACCGCTCCCCATCGGACAGTCAGTGGAGTTTCTTCGCATTACCTGGCATATTTCCTACGCCTACCGGGCCTCGCGGCAAACTAGTCCATAGCGAGAAGCTCAATGCTGTCTTCTTCATACTTCCGTCGAATACGGAGAGTGAACTGTTGATTGTGCGGAGGAGTATGAATGGTATACATGGAGAAATGAGTGTAGTATGGAGGGAACATGGATATAGTGGAGAGCCACTGATCGACGAAGAAGCCTTTACAAAATTTGGGCTTCTGTCTATTCTCATATTGAGAGACAATGAAGAAGGTAAAAGGAAGGTGGCCGTGCTACAATTCGACGTCAATAACCTGGCACAATGAGGAGCATGTCATAAGTCCTGAAAAGCAAGAGAAGCAGTAATCAGTAGCAGCAATCCTAGTGGGAGCCTTCAACCCGAAAGTCAATTTCATGTTAGCCCTTGCTCGTGGCGACGCAGTCACTCGCACTAGGAATACATTTTCCACCAACAGGAGAATCAGGAGATCGCCACCAGCTGTCTGAGCTACTCGCATGGTGTTTTCCAGCCGCCTCGGATTGCTTTAGGCCGAACCTCTCATGCAACCTGGGGGAGAGATCTGCACGATCAGCCCCGCAGTTCCCCCAGGTTTTGGCCCCGGATAATAGCCTGGGCAAGCTTGTCTTGATTAGACATCGCATTCCATAGGACCTGCTACAAACTCCGTATATATCTTCTTGATGAGAGTTGGTGGCAGTATTAGGGGATATCGTTAACCAACCCGACTTCATCATGGCAGTAAGTGCGCGGAAGCCCATCGACCGCAGAGCGCTGGAGGACACGACGGTGGTGAGCAACAAGCAAGGGCCATGGTGGAAGGACACTGGTCTAAGAAAGCTGAACTTGATGCTGTTTTTCCTCATGTTTAGCGAGTTTACTCAAGGCTACGATGCTTCCTTGATCAATAATGTGCAAGAGCTGAGTGTTTGGCAGGAGGGTATGCCAAGTATTGTATCTGCACTAGTCCGTTGATTGACCATGTGGTACAGATTTCAATCACCCTCATGGTAGCCTTCTGGGAGCCATGAGCGCTATGTACTGGATAGGTGATACACTACACTGATCTTGACGATCTCGTTCTTGGTCTAACTACAAGTACAGGAAATATCGTCGGCGTTGTCTTCATCTCCTTCATATCCGACAGGCTCGGCCGCAGATACTGCCTGTTTTTCGGCGCCATCCTATGCCTTGCTGGCACCGGCATGGCTACTGGTGCCTCCAGTGCAGGTCTCTTCATCGCAGCTCGCTTGCTTCTAGGCATGGGGGGTGTAGTAGTTGCTGCGATCGGGCCAGTATGGATGGGTGAACTAGCCTACCCAGATCATCGAGCGACAGCAACTTCCATGTCCAACACTACCTACAGTGCTGGATCTATCATCGCGGCGTGGATTACATTTGGATCATTCCGACTCGCAAGTGCATGGTATGCCCACCTGCCCGAGACCATACTTCCTCATCCTCATCAAAGATAGGGCATGGCGCATTCCCACCGTCTTTCAAGCGCTTCCATCAATAATCCAACTAATTGGAGCATTCATTCTTCCAGAGTAAGCCATAACAAGTCCTCATCCCACTCATGGCTAACAACCATAGATCCCCCCGCTGGCTCATCAGCCGCGGCCGCGAACAAGCCGCCCTCGCTATCCTAGCCAAATACCACGGCAACGGCGACGCGCAGGACATCGTAGTACAACAGGAATACCAAGAGATGAAAGAGACCATCGAACTCGAGATAGCAGCCAAGAAGACCTCCTGGAAAGAACTCATCAACACTCGCGGAAACAGATGGCGCTCGTTCATCCTCATATGGTGTGGTGAGTCCCTCTACCCCAATCCCCCCCACCACCACCACCACCTAATGCGAGAAACCACCAGGAATCTGCAAACAATGGTCCGGCAACGGCCTAATAAGCTACTACCTCAGCAGCATGCTCAAATCCGCCGGAATAACTGCCGAAGTCGACACGACCCTGATCACCGCAACAAGCCAAATGTTCAGTTTCGCCTGTGCACTAGCCTTTGCCTTCCTCCCCGGCCGAGTCGGACGAAGACCTCTCCTGCTCTGGTCAATGGGACTCATCTGGCTCGTCTTTGCGCTCATCACGATTTGCACGGGCGTGTTCGTCGAAACAGGTAGCCAGTCTGCATCGTACGCCACAGTCGCTTTTATCTATATATACAACGGAGTACATAATCTAGGTTGGACGGGCGCGATGATGCTCTACGGTTAGTATCTATCCCAAGCCACAGAATCCCATTTAGACAAACATAAATGGTCAATGCAATAGCTAACTAACAAACACAGTCGTCGAAATCCTCCCCTACTCCATCCGCGCCAAAGGCATCGCTCTTTTCTGGCTCGTCACCGGTGCCACAGGAGCATTCAACACGTATGTGAACCCGCTGGGCATTGATGCCTTCGCATGGAAGTATTATTTCTTCTATGTGGGGTGGATTATCGTTGAGTTTGTGGTGGTGTATTTCTTCTTTATTGAGGTTGGTGTTCATTCTGTCCCTTTCACGTCCCTTTATATATATATGCACATGCTCTTGTTCGACATCGTGGAGTGGCTAATACTATGGTATACTTGCAGACCAAAGGACCGAGTCTGGAGCAGATCGCGCTGTTGTTTGATGGGAAGGATGCGGTGGTTAGTCATGCTAATCCGGTGGCGGAGGAGTTTTTGGATGAGAAGGAGAAGGCGGAGGCGAAGGAGATTGAAGTGGCTCGGTAGGGATATATTGAGTAGTTTATGGGATGAGGTGCTTGATGAGGTATGAGATGAACTGGTAATGATTTACGTTGTTGGTATGGAAGTAAAGTGAAATAGGTAATTTTGAGACTCGTTATTCCTGGTACTCGCTATTAAATCTATTCTGAACAACAAATGACAAGCAGCAGAAAGGAATCATCACCATCGGCACATAATACTCAGCAGTGATTTCGTACGCCTGCCCATTCCCGTATGGGCAGGACATGAGATGGGAAAAACAAATGCACTAACGAAAACAAAGCATCCCGCGGCGGTATGCAATATAATGACACACAAGAAAGGGAATGAAACATAGGGAAATATAAAGGAAAATAGAAGAAACCCGGATATTAAAGAACATAGACCGCCGTGCTGTCTATGCAATAGGATGCTGTCCCAGAAAAATTTGTACAGGCGTTATCGCATAATGCAAGTTTTTTGCTGAAACCGTTTACTCGGGCTTGCGGCCAACCATGAGGTACATGGGAGTGAACAGCTTCTTCTCACCACCGGCAACAAGGCAGTCACCGGCCAAGGCCAGACTGTCGGCAGTCTTCTGAGAGCCCTTGGGGAAGAGACCGACCTTCTCCATGGCACCGACGAAACGGTGGGCAATGCCACGGCCCCACCAGGTCATACGAGCGATCGTGAAGAAGTCCCAGGGAGAGGTCAAGTGCTTGAAGGAACCGGCCAAGGGGTAGTACCAGGGGATGGTGTCGGGGCGGTCGGCCAAATCCTCGTTGTGGAGGAGCTCGAAACCGGCTCCCTTCATGGCGTCAAGACCCTCGGAGACCTTGACCATGTTGGAAATACCGTCACCCTGCTCGATACCGAGACGGATCTTGCGGTGCTCGGCGTTGCTGTTGTCGTACTCCTCGGTCATCAACCACTCGTAGACACCGAAGACACCACCGGGCTTCAGGACACGGAAGATTTCCTTGTAGACACCCTCGAGTTCGGGAGCGTGGCAGGTAGCCTCAATGGCGTAGACAGCGTCGAAGGTGTTGTCCTCGAACTTCATCTGCATGAAGTCACCTTTCTCGAAGGTCAGCTTGTGGGCCAAACCCTCACGCTCAGCGTAGCGCGTAGCACGCTGGATCTGGTAGTCGTTGTTGTTCAGGCCGACCACGTTGGCGTCGGTGAACTTGACGATCTCACGGGCAGGGCCTCCGACACCGCAGCCAACATCGAGAACCTTCATTCCAGACTTGATGCCGATCTGATGGGCGAGGTAGTGTTCGTGGCGAGCGATGGCCTGGTGGAAGCCCTCGCCAGGGGAGAAACGGCAGAAGTGGAAGGAGGTACCCCATCCGTACTCGTAAAAGTCCGTCGCAAGGTTGTAGTAGCTATAGCGAATTCGAGTCAGTACTGAGAATCGAAGTCATGTTTCTGGGTCTTAATGGCGCTACATACTGTCTGGTCAAGGTCGCATACTCGGCACGACGGGCCTAGAACATCAAAATATTAGTACAAGGCTTAGCATTAATATCGGAAAGGAGTAAGTCGCAAACATACCGCACGGATCTCTTCAGTCTCTTCCTCAGCGCTCTTGTTGTCCCAGTGCTTGAAGTACTCGTCGACAGCAGCCTTCTGAGCGGCAGCGTCCTTGTTGCGCATGGCAGCAAAACCACCCTGAGCTTCAGCGGACTTTCCATGGAGAACGCGGTTGAACTCCGCATCACGCGCATGGTTCTCCTGTTCAAGAGCTGCGGGAGCCATTGTTGACAGCAATTGGAAATTAAAGTGGGATAAAAAGGGGTGGATCGGTCAAGAAGCACAGGTGTCCGGAGTAAGTGGTTCGGATACAGGGACTTGAGGAGGCAATTGAGGCAGTTTTATAACCACAAACACGATCCTGAGAAAAGAAGAAAGGCCAAATAGGCAGACAGAAGTGAAGGAAGAGGAAAACGAAAGGATACGAAGAAGCAAGCGAGGCCAACGCAGCAGTTAATGCGATCGCCCGAAAGAAAGGGGAGGCGGAATTACGACTGACTTTGACATTTCCCCAGCCAATCACCGCTGTGCCGCTGGCCAGCCAACCAGATGGCGGGGGGCTAGACCCGAACAGGCATCCTGGGGTTCTGGCCAGGAAAAAGTTGTATCCGAAAGAGACGGTGGAACAGCACTAAGCCGTACTAGGCAGTTGACCAGGGCGTTCCTGGTCATATCGAGGAGCTGCGTATCGCGTATCGCGTATCCGGTGCGTATTCCGCCAGGCATCACTGGATCCGCTGGTCGCACAGAAGAGGCTATGCTCTCATCTTGATTGCCGCAGGATCAAGGCCTGGACTGCAAGGTTTCGTTTCAGACTCTGTATGATTGAGCATCATGCGCTTTATGGAATTACTATACTCCTTACGCAGATGCCTAAACAAGCACTCGGGTTCATCCTTTCCATGCATGTGATGCAGGAACTTGCAGTCAAATCACGTGACTAACATATTGCTTATGTCACAACAGCCACACTTAGCCACAGAATGCGCCACTACGACTATCGATAATCCAGTTCTTGCTACCGACAACGCTCAACTTCGCCGCACCATCTCCGCAGGGCTTCGCGTTTCTGTGTGGAAGCGCAGCTGATTAACACAACGACAACATGCCCCCCCCACAGATTAAGCAGGATCTGAACCGGTCCGGATGGGAGACCACCGACTTCCCCTCCGTGTGCGAGAACTGCCTGCCCGACAATCCTTACGTTCAGATGCTCAAGGAAGACCATGGCGCAGAATGCAAGATTGTAGGCAGACCTTTCCACTTTCGGACAACCAGACCATACTAACAGATTCCCAGTGCACGCGTCCTTTCACTATTTTCCGCTGGAAAGCCGATCGCACCGCGCGCCAGAAGCGTACTGCCATCTGCTTGACCTGCGCGCGTTTGAAGAACTGCTGCCAATGCTGTATGCTGGATCTGTCCTTCGGGCTGCCGATCGTCGTTCGTGATGCTGCTTTGAAGATGGTCGCCCCAGGCCCCGAAAGCACCATCAACCGCGAATACTACGCACAAGGTCACGAGAAGGAGATCGAAGAGGGGCGTGGCGCGGTGGAGGAATACGAGAAGACGGACGAGAAAGCTCGGGAGTTGCTTCGGAGGCTCGCCAACAGTGAACCCTACTACAGGAAGCCTCGCCAGATAGAGGCCGCACCCCAAGACGAGGAGGGCGCGAGTGCAGGACCCAGCGACGCACCGGTCGTACACAGCCGCTACGGAAATGGCCCGGGACCCATTCGCACAAGCGAAAGCAGGAGGGGAACGCCACTTCCGGGTAGAGGACGAGGAGGTATGCGTGGTGGTCGTGGTGGCCGCCCATTCCCTAGCGCCGCTCAGGTGCCCCCATCGGCTGAAGATATCCTACCGCCCGCGGATCCGAACATCACATCGCTCTTTGTTACTGGCGTGGAGGATGATCTTCCGGAACATACGCTGCGGACTTTCTTCACACAGTTTGGACAGCTGCGGTCGCTCATTTGCTCCCACCGTGCTCACTCTGCGTTCGTCAACTTCGCAACTCGGGAGGGTGCTGAGGCAGCTGCCAAACAGTGCCAGGGTCGGGCTGTCATCCAAGGCTGCCCTCTGCGTGTTCGATGGGGCAAGCCCAAGCCGTTGGATAACATGGATAGGGAGGAGCGCCTGAAGCATGCCCGGGAAGGTCGGCAGGCGGCAGGCCCGCGGGCAGCCGATTCTGGAAAGAGAGCCATCACAGCTGCCGGAGAGGAGATTGGCAAAGAGCAAAAACAACGGAGTTATGCTGTCGCCCCACCCCCGGGTGCTGGGGAGGTCCAGTACTCCAGTCTGTCTGGTGACTGATCTGCATTTCTACTCGCATTTTGGCTTGTTTTCTACAGGGTCCGGGAACAAGGAGGTCTTATGTATGTTCGCGAGCGGGCGTTGTGTATATTTTCTACATTCTGATTAAACCATAAAATACCCCCAAAGACGCCGGAAGGAGAGAGAAAAGTTTGGGTATACTATAATACAGTCTGCAAATGCCATAGTCTGCAGTCATCCTTTCACCCATGCATAGGCTTCCAGACAGTCAGATTCCACACGGAAAATCCTCCCTCTATGACGAGCATGCCTTGTCCACCTTGACAGTCTTTCCCTTAACTCTGATGGTGTCGTTATCGCCGCGCTCGATGTCGTCATGAATGCGGAGTTCTAATAGGATTTCGGGTCAGCGACATATACTCAGCCATAGCATAATTCCTCTGCTCTCTACTCACCCCACTTGGCATTCTCGTCATTTTGTTCCCGTACACCCTGGACAATGTTGTGTCTGAGAATGTTCGCCACTTCGAGCGCATGGTTGATCTGCATCGGAGTATCAATGCCTTCGCGGCGGTGGCTGTCGAAATTCCGGCGAGCCTCTTGACGGGCAGCAATCATAACACGGACATCATCTGCACGTTGAATATGGTTAGCGTTGAATAGACTTATGGCTGTTGAGGCGGCGACTGACCCCGGAAGGCAATGCGGGTAGCGCGGAGGAGTTGGCGGTAAGCACTGCGTGCGGACAAGGCGGTTTGGGAGGACATTATGAAGTTGATTATTGAGATTTATGGAAGAATTGAATCTGTTAACCTTTTGTTAGTTCTCCCCTTGTGAATTGAGTCTTTTGGGGTGGCGTACTGCGATAGTAGCGGGTGATCTGATGATAAAGAAAAACTGTCGTCAGGCGAATGCAGCTCGTCGCTCTGTAAATAAAGAATCCTTGATATAGAAACTACAGTCAAAAACAACAAAACATATAAGAAGAAGATCTAATCAACATGCGAAAAGGTTGAATTCTAACCGTCGTTCCCTGCGGCAGTCCATGACTTTCGATGACCTCCGAAACAGCCAAGGTTTGATTGGCCCACTGGGTGGCGGCAAGTCGGGGCAGAAAAAAAATGGAAAAGCACTTTGTCTTTTTGCTCAAACAGTCCGTTGGGCGCTTCTCACTCTTTCCCATTCTCCCCTCAAATCACCCCGCGTGGCTCTGTTCTTGACCATGGCTACCGTTCAGACCATCAACGTTACTCTCCCTTCCCTGCCTTCTGGCTGGAGTGCCGATAAGGACTTCAAGGCCGTTGGCACCGTTTCCGCTGCCACCCAGAGGAACCTCGAGCCCGTTGGCCCTCACTTCCTGGCCCACGCCCGCAGAGTACGTATCTAGCGACCGATCCAGTACGATAATGGCTCACTGCTAACAACCCTCCAGAAGCGCCACCACCGCACCTTCTCCGAGGATGAACGTATCCAGGCCCAGCAGAACGTGAAGAGCACCGAGGACGAGGAGGATGATGACATCTCCGAGGACGAGGACCCTATGATGCTCTCCAGAGATGCCAAGGACTGGAAGGTATGCATTACCAAAATCGTCGACATAGGTGTGATTCTTACATACTACAGAGCCAAGATCACTACCAGGTTCTCGGCCTGTCCAAGTACCGCTGGCGTGCCACCCCCGAGCAGATCAAGCGCGCCCACCGCAAGAAGGTCCTCCGCCACCACCCCGACAAGAAGGCCGCCATGGGTGACCGCGACGAGAACGACAGCTTCTTCAAGTGCATCCAGAAGGCTACTGAGGTTCTCCTGGACCCCACTAAGCGTCGTCAGTTCGACTCCGTAGACGAGGCCGCTGATGTCGAGCCCCCCACCAAGAAGGAGGCTGCCAAGGGCAACTTCTTCAAGCTCTGGCGCCCTGTCTTCGAGTCCGAGGGCCGTTTCTCCAAGATCCAGCCCGTGCCCCAGCTCGGTGACGAGAACAGCACCCAGGAGGAGGTCGAGACCTTCTACAACTTCTGGTATGACTTCGACAGCTGGCGTACCTTCGAGTACCTGGACGAGGATGTGCCGGATGACAACGAGAACCGTGACCAGAAGCGTCACATGGAGAAGAAGAACGCCAACGCCCGCCGCAAGCGCAAGACCGAGGACACTACCCGTCTCCGCCACCTTGTGGACGAGTGCGCCGCTGGTGATGAGCGTATCAAGAAGTTCCGTAAGGCCGCTCGTGCCGACAAGGACCGCAAGCGTCTCGAGAAGGAGGCTGAGATCAAGCGTCTGGCCGAGGAGAAGGAGAAGGCCCGCCTGGAGGAGGAGCAGCGCAAGAAGGACGCCGAGGAGGCCGCTAAGGCCGAGCGTGAGCAGAACAAGAAGGCCAAGGAGGCCGCTAAGAACGCCGCCAAGAAGAACAAGCGTGTTCTCAAGGGCTCCATCAAGGATGTTAACTACTTCGGCGAGGGTGGTGAGCCCTCCGCTGCTCAGGTTGACTCCGTTCTCGGCGACGTTGACCTTGTCATCAGCAAGATCGACGCTGAGGAGCTTGCTGGTCTGGCTGGACGCCTTACCGCTGCTGGCAAGGACGCTGCTGCCGTCAAGAACGTGTACGCCGAGGAGGTCAAGCGCCTGGTTGGTGCTGGCAAGCTGAAGGAGGGCGAGGCCAAGTTCTTTGCTTAAGCGGACTGGAGTATAGGATGTATGGTGTCGATGGATTTACATGCTACGCAGGTGTGACCGGACTGGTCAACAAGGTATATAGATCGATAGAGTTGACTACAAAATAATGAGAGCAACGACCTTATGGAGTTCAACCTGTTATTCCACAATCCTATCTTATTTTCCGTAGTGTACAGTAGTCCGGGATGTTCCTAGCGTACCCGTCAGTCGCGCGAATTAGCCATGCACTGCAGGCTCATGATGAATGGATTCTCCACAGGATGGACTATTGCAGTCCCATCGGAAGCGAGTTTTCAGTCTGAAAGGCTAGTATATGCCAAACCATCCGCTGGCAGAAGGCATTGCGGGCACGTGCCAGGGACGGCGAGTCCCGTGCTCCCCAAGTCGAGCAATTGTCCAATAGAATGTCACACTCTGCTATCTAAGTTATCCGCCTTTCCAAACTGGGCATTAGCGGGCATTTCCCTGTCGGCCAGTCAGCGACATTTGACTTGCAACGTGCAGAACATCTCACCAGATGGCATCAGCTGCAATCCTGCCATGCACAACAGCAGCCGACAACGTTCCACAATGCCGACGCAGATGCTGTGGGGATCTGGCACACTGGCTTCGTCGGTTAGACAGGCCTGTCCAATTGCAGTTCATTGATTAAATTGCTCCGGGCTAGAATAGTTGCGGCACGAATAACCACGCGTCTGATGGATCGGTATAGAGTTCACAGCAGCCGTGAGGAAAGATATAAAGATGTCCTCAGCAGCCCGATAATCTTCTGGATATTTTTTTGTTTGGTGTGCTTCTCCGTGGATATTACGCCGGACCCCTCTCTTAATACACTCTCAGCTTTCGTCTGCTGATATCTAGGGCATCATGTTCACCAAGCAGTCCCTCGTGACCCTCCTCGGAGGTCTTTCTCTGGCTGTGGCCCAGACCACCACGGAGGAATACCCCTCCTTGGCTGAGATTCGTGCTGCACAGGCTACCGTGCAGCCTTACTCTCCCGTTTCGAATGTCAAGGGACTGGCGTTCAATCGCTTTGTGAACATCTGGCTGGAGAACACCGTATGTCCTCAGCTGTTACATCTGATATATGCAGTGATTGAGCCACAGCTGACATGCCATTTCTGATAGGATTTTGATGCTGCTGCTGCCACAGAGCATCTGCCGGTGCTGGCCAAGAAGGGTCTCCTTTTGAACAACTTCTGGGCTGTTACTCACCCTTCGGAGCCGAACTACTGCGCATCTGCTGCTGGTGACACTTTCGGCATGGACAATGATGACTTCCATCAGATTCCTTCCAACGTTTCTACCATAGCCGATTTGTTCGATACCAAGAACATCGCCTGGGGTGAATACCAGGAAGGCCTCCCCTACCCTGGGTACCAGGGTTACCGCTACCCCGAGAGCGGTGCCAACGACTATGTTCGCAAGCACAATCCTCTGATCCTGTTTGACTCGGTCACCGAAGATGCTCTCCGTCTGCGCCAAATCAAGAACTTCAGTAGCTTCTACGATGATCTGGAAAACCACCGTCTTCCGCAGTACATGTTCATCACCCCCAACATGACGAACGATGGCCACGACACCAACATCACATTTTCCGGTGACTGGACTTGGAGCTTCCTATCCGAGCTTCTGGAGAACGATTACTTCACCAAGGACACACTTATTATGCTCACCTTTGATGAGACCGGCACCTATGAAATCGGTAACAACATCTACACCTTCCTTCTCGGCGGCGCCGTCCCGGATGATCTTCTGGGTACCAAGGATGACACCTTCTACACCCACTATTCCGTTATCGCTTCCCTGTCTGCCAACTGGGGCCTCCCCTCCCTGGGTCGCTGGGACTGTGGTGCGAACCTCTTCAGCTGGCTGGCCAAGAAGACCGGCTATGTTAACTATGAGGTTGATACGAGCAACTTGTATATGAACGAGACTCACTGGGGTCCTCTGTCCGATGATGACTACAGCGAGTACTACGCTGGCTGGCCTGTTCCCACAACTGATGCCAGCTGCTCTGCTGGCAACGGAATCCTTTCTACAGTCAAGAAGACCTACGAGGGCTTGACTGCCACCTTCAACTACACCACCCCCTTTCCCTACGACTCTCGCAGCGGAAACAATGTCGGTGTGAAGTACAGCCGTACCCTGGTAAGACACTCCACTCCCCTTGCCTCTTATCTATTGTAAACTCTAACCCTGTGGTAGAAGAATGGCAAGGTCGAGTCCGGTACTTCCGAGTAAGCTGACGCGTCGACATATTTGGCCGGGAGGATAATAAATGGAATGTGGACCCATGAATCTGATCTGTAATATACTAATGCAATATATCAATTGATCTACTACCCTCCTCCATCATGCTCTGAAGTCCAACACAAAGCTCAAATAGCCCTGGATCGGGTCTCTACACATATTCAAGTTTCTGCCTTTGTCTGCAGGTGGACGTGTCACGGCGGGGTGAGCGTGACTCATGCATATAAACCCTGACTACCATCACCATGGCTGCCAAAATCAAACCAACCGAAAAACAAGAGAAAAGCACTCTTCAACTCATCAGAGAGAAGTTCAAAATGTACCCTAGCACAGAGCATCTCAACGTAAGAGACAATTTCGAACTACAGCCGCCCGACCAAATTGATATCAACCAAAGCCCCGAGAATGCCACCAACATCAGTACATTGGAAGACATCCCACCCAACGGCGGATACGGCTGGGTGTGCACATTCTGCGTATTCATGATCAACGTACACACCTGGGGCATCAACAGCGCCTGGGGTGTAATTCTAGACTACTACCTCTCGAACTCGACCTTCCCCGGCGCCAGCCACCTCGACTATGCGATCATCGGCGGGCTCCAGGTCTCCCTATCCCTTTTAATCGGACCCATCGTCACCAAATCCAACGAATTACTAGGCACAGCCATCACCCTCCTCACCGGCACAGCCCTCATCTTCACCGGTCTCTTCGCCGCCTCCTACTCCACCCAAGTCTGGCACCTCGTACTCACCCAAGGCATTGCCTTCGGCTTCGGCATGGGCTTCCTCTACCTAACCGCCACCTCCATCCTCCCCAAATGGTTCTCCACCAAGCGCAGCTTCTCCAGCGGTATTGCCGCCTCCGGCGCCGGCCTCGGTGGCCTCGCATACAACCTCGCCGCCGGCCGCGCCATCCAATCCGTGGGCGTGCAATCCACCTACCGCATCCTCGCCTTCTGCGCCCTAGGTTCCCACCTCGTCTCTTCCCTTCTCCTCAAAGACCGACCTCGCTCGCGCGCCCAACCCCGTCAACGAACCTTCAACCACCGCGACCTCGGCCACCTCGAAGTCCTCCTCATCATCGTCTGGGGCATCTCCACTGACCTCGGATACATCACCCTCCTCTACTCCCTCCCCAACTACGCCTCTTCCATCGGCCTCTCCCCACAGCAGGGGTCCGTCGCTGGCGCTATCCTCAACCTCGGCCTCGTCCTTGGCCGTCCAGTCGTCGGCTACATCAGTGATGCCTACGGCCGCATCACCATCTCCATGGCTATGACGGCGTCGTGTGCCATCCTCTGCCTCGCTATCTGGATCCCTGCGCATTCATATGCACTCCTGCTCCTCTTCGCGGTGCTGTGCGGTATGGTCTGCGGGACCTTCTGGGGTACTATTGCCCCTGTGCTTACTGATGTGGTCGGGTTGAATCGTCTCCCGTCGACGTTTGGGATGGTGTGTTTGATGCTGGTGGCGCCGAATTTGGTCGCTGAGGCGATTGCGTTGAGTATGGCGGGCAGCGGGGCTGGGTATTTGAGTGCGCAGGTGTATGTTGCTTGTATGTTTGTGTTGGGGGCGGTGTGTTTGTGGATTCTGAGGTCGTGGAAGTTTTATGAGTTGGAGGTGAAGGGGGTGAGTGAGGGTGGGGAGGCGAGGGATCGGAGTGGGATGGTTGGTGTGCAGGGGTTTCTGAGGTGGTTGAGGCCGGAGAAGTTGTTTCTGAGAGGGAGGGTGTAGGTGATGTTGATGGTGATGATGGGTACTTGATGGTATTGCAGTGGTTGGTTATAGAAGTATCTTTTTCTGGGTTATTAGATTTAGAGCTAGCCATGGGGTTATATTTTCTTTTAAAATTATAGAGAGTAACAACCGGTAATGAAATACAATACAAAAGTTTGCATTCTACAAGTGTCCAGGTTAAGATGGATGTATAAAACAGGCTGCACAAACCTGCCTCACAATTGATACCTCTGAAATTCGTATGAGACTTTGTTCGATTATTCGTCAGAATACAGAAAACCTGAGCAGTACCAGTAACCAGAAGAGGGATTTCTCTTTTGGTCTACTTGGTAAGTATTCCAACATTAGTATTTAAGATTTTGTAGTAGAGTTGACTGAAGCCTTAGTACTAGACAGGGAGTACTAATTACATTACTACTTTACAGACTATCACGCGGTTGTATAAGTTTGAGAATATATACTAGTAAGTAATGAAGTACTACCAAGCCTCACAGGCTCATATTTCGAGTAATAACCGCAAACATTGAATGACACCGCCTTTTGGTTTGGTAGCTGCTTACTCCTGTATGAGGAAACATAAGAGAAGGACTGCCCGACCGAGGAAGCGAAGAACTTGAAGGCTGTCAAGGGCTGGGTTGAACACGCGGTGAATAGGCGCGCGCTATCATCAGCTGAGTCTGCCCCGCATCGCTCAGCCGCCTCCCTCTGGCACACACATTTCCATGGTTACCTATGATGAACCGTGACATCAACGGAATGGAGAGTGAGGATCCAATAGACTTTGCACATACTGCCATAGCCCAGGTCGCTAACATCGCGTCTTTACTGGGCGTTGATTCCAAGCGACCTTTATGTGGGCGTCTCGGGGCTGAGCTCTTCCTCGTCGCCAACTACATCGACACGGCTGGCTTAGATCAGGAGAGGCGACTGCGGCTGCGAATATCCAAGCTATTGCGAGATGTGGAAACTATGTGCAATGTAAGTGTGGCAGAAATCTCTATGTATGTGGATGAAGCCTGATGAGCTTGGAATAGTGGCCGAAGAATATACCAAGAAATGACGTTCCTCTTCTTGAAGCGATAGCAAAGCCATTCCCTGACGTGACATCTTATGAGAAGGCTCAGAAAAAGATTCGACGGGGACTTGATCAGCTTACCGCGTGTCCTCGTGACGCCGAGGTGGCCATCTCTCATATCCAAAAATTCATTGAGCGCAATCGCAAGTCATCTATGCGCGACGAGAGTGGAGATATCAGTACTAGAAAAAGAGCCGCTCGACCAGAGCGCTCAGATCTTGCTAACACGATCGCTCATCGAGTCCTACGAGAGCAAATGTGCTGTACTTGCCAGACCAATGGAGTGCGTAGGCAAACGGAGCGAGGACATCTAGTGTGTCTCCTGCTACAGCCACCTTCCCAATCAGTGGCCAGTAACAATCTGGTGCAATTTGATATGCTATTCTCATCAAAGCCCTTCTGGAACCAGTCACAGCTTACCCACTGGCAAGATATTGAGCTGCTTGTGCCAAACGACCATACACACGGCAAAAAGTGCGTCCGATTTTTTGATGGAGATGATGGATATAGAGATGAGAAGGACAACAATCTATCTGCAAAATTAAGACAACGAACAGACAAAGGCCAATTCTGCCGTTTACTCGATCTAGCGAAAGGCTGGCGCCTTTGCCTCTCTATTGAAGACCAGGAGCTTTATCATTTCTTTGAGCCCCACAAGCAGAAAGTCGACCATATTCCGGGAATATTTTTGGCCAAAATCCTCAGCACCTACCATCTAACGGCACGAATGAAGCTTGTACTAGCTTACATAATAGCCTACTCTGTCTGGCAGTACTACGGCACAGACTGGATGCGAACAAAATGGACAAGCGAGACTATTCAATTTATGAGGGAAAGTGATACCTCTGGGGGTAGGGGCCAGGGTAAGCTTTTTACCTGGAAACCGTATGTATCCGTGGATTTCAAAGATGAAGGTCCGTTGTGCTACGAACAATATAAGATTCCTGGGATGGTGCATGTCTACCCAAGGATCAGAGCGCTTGGTATCATGCTGGTTGAGATAGGTCTTGGGTTTCCGCTTCCCAAGAGTGAGAACGAGGGGCAGTCCTTGGCCGCCGAAGTGAATGCTGAACTGCTCACGGCCATCAACTACACAAGGGATGAAGAGCGCTGGAAGAATTTCGACTACCCCGATTATATGAGTTCAATATGCCACTGTTTGGAGCCCGGTACATTCGACCAGGCAGCTTGTGTTGAATGTTTATCTGCCTCTGAACAGAGACAAAACCTCAAGCAACGAAGAAACATATTATACGAGAAAGTTGTGTTCCCGCTCGAAAACCTCCTACAGGGCACGAAATGGATCGACAATTATGAAAAGATAGCCCCGCTTAATGTACTTTCTCAGGATACGAAAACGAAAGAAGCCATTGTACCGGGAAATCCTGACAAGGGCAAAGCGCCGGAGCGCAGGAGGAAGCGCACCGAAAGTGAGAAAAGCGCTAGCAACTGGCTATTAGACTTGAAGGAGTTTAATAGGGAGCTAGCTCAAGTTGCACCAGCAGCGGGATCACCCGGGGTAACCCGGCGCGTACGGATAGCGATTTTGGACACTGGATACGACGATAATGCCCCGTTTTTCTTTTCACCTGATGTCATGGAACGTCTTAAAGGCTGGAAAGACTGGGTTGATGGTTCGAGCCAGCCCGAAGATTGTCATGGACATGGCACTCATTTGGTGTCTCTCGTTCTGAAGTGTGCTCCCGATGCTGATATTTATGTAGCACGCATTGCCAAAAGCCCCCATCAACTCTTAAATTCCAGCGAGAAAGTTGCAGAAGTTAGTGATCCGAGGAAATTGTTGAATTTCATTCCGCTGACTTGCTTAGGCGATTTCTTGGGCAAGTGGAGAATGGAAAGCCGACATCATCTCCATGTCGTTCGGCTTTGCAGACGAACAGCCGTGTATCAGTGACGCGATACGCGAAGCCCTGTACAAACGAAAAGATTCTATTCTTTTCTTTGCAGCAGCTTCAAATTACGGAGCCAATGATCGAGAGATGTTCCCTGCCAGACACGAATCCGTCATCTCTATTCGGGGGACAAATTCAAACGGCCTATTTGCAGACTTTAACCCCCCTAAGCATGAAGATGAACCAGTGGTTTTCGGGACTCTTGGCATAGACGTTCCTTCTGCGTGGCCCAACTCTGATGGCGACGAGTATAGGTCTGGAACATCAGTTGCTGCGGCCATAGCGGCTGGAATAGCAGGGTCTCTTCTGGGATATATCAGTTCTCGCCCTCCCGAGAAGCCATTCTACAATGCCAAAAACCGAGCCTGGACACGTCGGGGAATGAATGCAATATTCAGGGCCATATCCTCTAACACGCTCCAGTCAGGCTATTTGTACCTGACGGTACGGGGCTTGATAGGTATTCCGGAGGATGCCCGGTGGGCGAAAATTGGCGGCAAGTTATCTGGGCTTTGAATATGAGAACTGATTACTCTGAGTCAGGGATCACTCCCGACTATCGAAGAAATACAGTTGACTCGACTATCCCCCTCTCCAATTTCTGTCACAGTCATACTCCCTTGGTCATGATCACTGGATAAAGTGCCCGGATCAGCTGAACCTATGATGATCTCTTCCACGGCATCGTCGTCCTCATCTGTCTCATCTTCATCATCTTTGCTCAAGTAGGCGGCCTTGTGCCTCAGCTCATCGTATTCAACTCTATCGCCTCTCCAACCCTTGACTTCTATCTTGAGAAGCTGATATGCAAACACTATATCCTCGCCCGCCCGCCAAGTATCTGATTCTTCTGTGCTGGTCGATTTGGCGAGATTCGCTCCAGCGCCAACCTGAAATCCCGGCGATAGAATATTTCCGCCAACCTCAATCTCCCCGTTGTGGCGCTTATTGTTCTCCATAGTGGCGGTGAATCCTTTCGCTATCATGAGACCCGTAACCATGTAAACAGGGTTCCTGAGCCCAGGGATTCTGCCTGATTTGGTCACAGCCTGAACCCGAGGGGACCTTAGACGTGCTTGGATCTCTTCAAGCGGAGGGTCAGTGACAAAGTATTCTGTCTCCAGTTGGTCCATCCTATAGTTTGATCGCACATCGCTACCCCGTCCGCCCGACAACTTTCCGGATACCGTCTGCAGGAACTCTGCCCACAAGCTCATCGAGACATCGCGGCTATCGCCTCGTTCAATACTTCGCTCGTGATCCGTAAATCTTTCTATCCGCGGGTACACTTTCTCCAGTGTCGTCGCATCGACAGTTGTCAGGGCTCGGTGTGGTCGCAGGGGGTGTGATATTATGTTTCCTAATCCGATAGGGCCCGTTCCTGGCTTGAGATGGAAGTTGGGAGAGAGGATATACGTGGGTTGCTGTGCCATTTATATGGAAAATTAAGGGAAAAAAGCCAGAAGAGTCCCGAAAGAAGACAGGAAAGAGGGAAGGAACAAGTTCGTCCTCGTCGTACTGAAGTAAGCGCCGTGCAGCAGGAGCGGGGTCGGATCAATATTAGACTAGCGAGACTAGTGAGGCTGCAACCCCTCAGCTGATCCTATCTACTTGAGCACATATCGTCGCATATAGCGACTACGTACGCAACGAGCTACCTGACAGCCATGGAGCAGGGCATAAAAGAGGCTGCACAGCAGTGCGTTGACCTTTTCACACGGTGCTTGCAAAATCCACCACTCATGGAAAACGAATGGGCTGAGAATCGCCTTGCTGATATGAATTTATGGATATCAGGCACCGGAGCCTGCGCCAGAGGACGAGCTTCTTTGGACTCCAGACTAGCCTCGAGGCCCGAAGCTCATGATGTGATTGTCAATTTATTGCGCCTGCTAAGTACTATGATTGACGAGTCCCTAAAAAGAAGCCAAACACAAGACATTTCGCGGAATTATTACAACGAGGAAGACCTTGCGTCTCCTGAGCACGAAGGACAAGGGCGATCATTTTCCCCATGGTCCGATGATTCTAGCTCCGATGGCCAGTTGATGGACCGTCATGAGTTGCGGAATCCATCCGGGAATCTGTTGCATGAGTCAATGTATGACATTGAGTCGATGATGGATCAACTTTCCCGGGTCGCAGTTGCCATTCGTCGCTCTGGACGGCGCTCACGGTTGCAAAAGGCGGACCAAATGTTCAACGCAACGGACCATCAGGAGCTGGAAGGCCACCTTATCGGAATGTTGCTTTGTCAATTACATGGTCGTATCCAAGAAAGAGACCCATCGCAGTTGGATGAAGTACAATTGCGGTTGATACACTGCAACCTAAAGCGTCGAAATCGCTTTTTGTATTCTCAAAGACACGCCATAGGTCTGGATGCTGGCTACGTACGTCGCACACCCGTACCGAAGCCAGCTGGATCAGCACAGAAGGAGACACCTCAAAAAGACCCGCGTTGGGAATCCTCAGATAATAGCCCAATGCACGCTAACAACACCGTAATCACTGGAACCAGTGCCTCCATATTGTCCGATGGCTTTCAATTACCGCAATCAGGCCACGTACTACACCCAATAGACCACGCTAAATCCGTCACTCTTTCCGCAGTATCAACCACTGCACTCGAAGTAGATTACCCGCGCCCGCCTCAGCTCAAAGATGATGCACGGCTCTTTCGGTGTCCCTGTTGCTGCGAAGCACTTCCTGCAAAAATGACAGATGAAATCAGGTGGAGGTGAGATTCTTGACGCTGATCCAATCACGGCCAAGCTAACACAAGACTAGAAAACATATTGAAGATGATTTGAGTCCCTACAGCTGTGTTTTGGCTAGTTGCGATCAGCCTTATGTCCTCTTCAATACAAAGGATAGTTGGCGACAGCACATGCTGAAGGATCACAGCAGCATGACATATTGGACCTGCTTTGCATGTGGTGATGGATGTCAATTTTCAAACAGGGAAGCCTTTGTACTACACACGGAGTCCTTTCATGCTGCGACCGTTTCACTAGCCCATATACCAGTCCTGGCGGAGTTGTCAAAAAAGACAATACCATCAGAAATCCGACACTGTCCACTGTGCAACTGGCCAGAAAACGATGAAGTCGAAGTGGAAAAAGATACACTGTTCAATCATATCGCTAAGGAGATCCACTCTTTCTCGCTCCGGGCATTACCATGGGCGGATGATAACGGACAAGAGAGTGTTGAAAATATTCACAACAGCTCTGAAAAGGTCTACGACTGGCTGAGCAAGAATAACATTCAGACAGATCCTAGTATAGAACGCCCTCCCTGCAAGGAGAGGCTATGGTATGATGACTATTTCCAGCAGAATTCATATTTTGCTTGCAGCTCAGAAGTGTCGTCTTCGAATGAGCTTGATTCTGACGAATCGAGGCAAAACGAACTGGATGAACTTAGAAGGGTAGATGAGATCGAGTCTCAAGGACAGAAGAGTGAAGCAAATGCAAATCCAGCACTTCATTCCTCGCCGTCTAATACACAGAGAGATTATATAGAGCAGGCTGTGGAGCTCGAGACACCCATGGACTCTCGCGAGATTAAGCTTAGTGAAGAGCATTCTGACACTAAGCATACACCTTCATATGCTTTGAGCGACATCGTGGAGGACTCAGAAGACGATTTCTCAGAAACCGCCTATTTTTGGGGTCACTCCTCGAATCCGAAAAAAGCGGTGCCTGTTTATTTGGACACAAAGGCTACTGCTAATTTCATGTCTCTTAGACTCGCGCAGGAATTAGAGGCCCCATTGCAACCCATTACGCCGAAGGCTCTGATCTCCATCCCCAGTGATGCAGCGAATCAAACGAGCCTTACGGCACAATTCCAAACTGAGGTGAACTGGCAGTTTGCACGACGTGGCACGGAGTATACCACTAAATTCTTAGTCCTGGACACAGACACATACGACGTAGTTCTTGGGATGGAGACTATTTCTGAATACAAGTTGCTTCAGCCTCCAAGATCAGTCTGGGATATGTTTAATGTAGGAGGCCCAGTAGAATTGGAGGCGGAACAGGGGAGTCTGCCTAGGAAACCAGACAAGCCTCGGTCCCTGGACACAAGGTTGTTATCATTGTTAGAAAGAAAACTGGGCCGGTAATTGTTGTCCACGGTGGTGAAATTTCAAGTCAATTACTTCCAGATTTTGTGGAGTGTTTACGTTAGTGTAAATCAGCCAACTTCTCAAGAATCATATATTTATTTTACAGATCGAAGAACACAGCTAGAACTAAGATTATAGTATGTCAAGCGACTAGAATTATTAGCTAGGGACTACTTGCTAGTTTATGAATCAAGAACTTAACATGAAACAACTATATAACCTAGTGACTGGAGAAATTTACCTGGCTAAGGCAGGAAATATATGAGATATGGCATTCTAATCACCTGTAGTAGCGTAGCTCGCATAAAGTAAGCTAATAAGAGATATCTTGCGTTCTGAGTCTGTTAACTCGAAATAGTATTTCAAGAGAATTCAATTTTGAAATGCGCACTAGCACTGGCTTGGACACTAACAGCAAAATACAGATGTCCCAGTCGACATTTAGACTATTTTACTTTTTTTCCAAACCTGTACGAGATGCATTTACTTGCATACCCAATTTGATTTGGAAGTTAGGAACCGAAGGTCTTTCGGGCCCCTAGTACTTCATATGCAGCCTAAGTTAGGTTGACAATCGCAGCCTAGACTATATATAACCTTCCCCCTTGCAGTGACAGACCACATGATGTATAATATTATCTCGTTGCTGTTATTGAAGGTTTTTCTTTTCTCTGTCCTCCTCGGCACTTTTAATTCTGGCGAATGCTTAAGCGGTCATGAATCATCCCTCCACGGCGATGGGACTTTCCAAAGTAAGATATCTTTTACTTATTACCAGAGATTCGGACTATAATAACCCTGGTAGATCATCCAGCTAGACAGCCATGAGATCAAAGCATCAGAGGTTGAGCACTTAGATCCACGTCGAACAGTGTACCGCTTTCACCTCGAACCAGACCCATCATGCTATCGACATATAATCCCAGAACCAGCCACATCTATCATAATCAAGCAACGAAAAGAGGACTGGGAAGAAGAGTTCGAGGACGAAAAAACAGCCTACACCAAACTAAAAGACCTCCAAGGGCAAGTTATCCCATACTTCTACGGTCAGGGGTACTACAATGGCCTACCTGCACTTTTATTATCAGATATACCGGGGATTACTTTAGATGATCTGGCTCGCAGCAATGAAGAAGTCCCTGAGAAGCTGATTAAGTCTTATCTGGAAGATGTCTTTGATAAGCTTTCGAAGTATAAGGCTTTCTATTGTGATCAGAAATTGGATAACTTTATACTATGTGGTGATTGGGAACATGGTTGTGACAAAGTGATGGCTGTTGATCTCGAGCAGGTTGAGATTCCGGATCAAGTTCGTCCGTGGCATTGGTCTGTCAATCAGGAGGGGGCAAGGTCTCTGATGGAGGAGTTTAGGTATAGACGGAATCCGAGGAGTGAGTCAACTCCACTTAAGATATGGAAGATTGGACAGGATAAGGGTGCTTCATAGTGGGTTATATGATTTTGTCCGCACCGCGGGAATAGGGAAGTGTAATGTCGATGATAACCCTTGATACGAAACAAAGCTCATAGTACGTTCATCCGAGTTCTTCTACAAGCTATCAACAAGTGTTTGCTCTACTCATGTTATGGCTATATCTTTGGAGAAAGATATCAATTCGATCCATGCGGATAAGAAGCAGCCCCCGGCTAAACTTCAGGCTAAACCTTCCCCGCCCCGCACCTCACCGAAACCGCCCCACATGATGATTCAAAGGCCATCGACAACTCCAACTGAACATAAACCAATTCAATACCTTCTACACAGATCTACGGTTTAACTCTACTTACTACAAAGATAATACCAATTTCAGTTTCTGAAGAGAAAAAGGTCTAATAATGGATTTCCCAACCAGACCACCACCCTCCCAAGAATCCCTTCAACGCTACTACATTGGTAAAGACATCGGCTCGGTCCCCAAACCCGCGGTTGTCCTAGATGTAGCCATCATCAAGCGCCATTGCGCCTCCATGTTGGATGCAGTAAAGGCATTGGATGTGGGGTTCCGTGCACATGTCAAGACACACAAAGTATGTCCCCATCACATACCATCTATCCTGACCCAATTCACAAAATGCGTGATGACTGATATTATGAAAGACTCCCCAAATCGCCCGTCTCCAGGCTGGGGAGGACAAATCCATACCCGCAAACTTTGTCATCTCCACCCTTCTGGAAGGGGAGACTCTGCTCCCATTATTCAAGGAACTCCGGGCCACCGGACGAAATGTTAATGTACTCTACGGCATACCTCTTGTACCTTCACAAGTTCCCAGGTTGGCTGCACTAGCACGCGAACTAGGCGAGGGGAGTATTTCCGTCATGATTGATCATCCTGATCAGGTACAGTATCTGACCGAGTTTCGGGAACTGGTGGGTCATGCACCGTCGGTGTTTCTCAAGGTGGATTCTGGATATCATCGGGCAGGACTCCCGCCTTCCATGCTGAACAAGGGGGGTTTGATCGAGAAGGTGATTGAGGGGGAGAGCGAGGGGAGGTTGGTTCTGCTTGGGGTTTACTCGCATAACAGTTTGAGTTATGGGGGTGATACGCCAGAGGAGGTAATGAGGTTCTTGGTGCAAGAGATCACCGGGTGTCGGGAGGCATTGAGGAAGAATAAGGATTTGTTCTCATTGCCTGGTGGTAATGGGAGGGAATTGGTGGTCAGTGTTGGGGCTACGCCGCAGGTGGTTGTGGTGAAGAAGTTACTTGAGGAGGAGGGGCAACTCAATGAGGAGGCAAGGCGGTTGAAGGGCTTGTTGCATGAGAAGGATGTGGATGGTGAGTTGTCAGTCAAAGTTGAGCTCCATGCGGGTGTCTACCCGGTTCTGGATATGCAGCAATTGGGCACCAATATCCACCCCACTGCGGATGCGGAGAAAGAGGTTGGCATTTCCGTTGTGGCAGAGGTCTGCAGTGTGTATAATGATGCCGAGCGGTCGAAACCCGAGGCTCTGGTGGCTGCTGGGTCGTTAGCTTTGGGGAGGGAGCCGTGCAAGTCGTATCCGGGATGGGGAGTGGTTGGGGATTGGAGACGAAAGAAGGGGTCATTGCGGTTGATTGTGGATCGGATCAGCCAGGAACATGCGATTGTTGCCTGGGAAGGGGGAGATGGCTCTGCAATTCCGCTCAAGGTCGGACAGACTGTCAAGATATATCCGAATCATGCGTGCGTGACTGGGGCTATGTATGGGTGGTATCTGGTGGTGGATTCGAGTCGGGATGGGGATGGATCGACGATTGTGGATGTTTGGCCGAGACCGACGGGGTGGTAATCCACCCTACTGGTGTATTCATAAAGCTGTTGGATAGACAAACACCTAGGTTCTACTTTACTGTCTGCAGTGGATATAATATGTTTCTCTTATCGGTGGTGTCATTGACCAGTTGGCACCTAACATGAAGTAGCTGGCCTATTAAATCGGGTGTTGTCTTCCTCTTTGGCCAAAACACAGTTAGTTCAACTCCCACTGCATGTTCCTCTCCAGCACCTCAAGAATGACCACCCTCTCACAATGCTGGCTGTTCAACTTGAAGCCGAATCAATGGAATCTCCACTTCGGCCCCGCCAACCAATCACCGGATTATCTTCGGCTTCCCGCGCCGTCGATCCGCTTGTTCTCCCATCCGCTCTCCATGCCTCTGAACTTAGCACTGATTCCCTCCAATCTCCCACTCCTCTAGCGCTAAGCCCCTTATTTCACACCAATGCCGCCTAGTAGACGGCCGCGTACCGACCCCATCGTCCGCGTCCGCACCGGTTGCTGGGCCTGCAGACGCCGCAAGAAGAAATGTGATGAAGCCAAACCCATCTGTGGGGGATGCGTGCGGAATAAGCTCACCTGCCAGTGGCCAACCATCATCCCAGGCCAACCCAAGGCCAACAATATCTCCTTCATGCCTGAAGATGATGGCCATAATGATCGACGGTCAAATGAAGATGGACCCCCTCGACAGATGAGCGTGAACCGGGAAACGTCCAGCTCGATCGAGTCTCGTTCTACCTCACCATCCTCTCCAGAGGAGATACTACGGGAGTCGGAGTCTCCAGAGAACACGTCTCGCGAGTCTCCTGCATCAGGTCCCTTGATTTCAATGGACCTTGCTCCAACTCCTGCTATCGGCAGCAGCCAAGCCCTGGGAACGTCTGCCTCCGTTAGCAATCTACTCCCCCGGAGCCTGTCCATGTTTCCCGGCCATGGACCTGATTCCTATCAGCTGTTGAGCCACTATTTGGCGACGACTGCCGACTGCATGGCCAACGGGTCTACCCCGATCAACCCATTTCTGGTCCAGATCGTGCCACTCGCTTTCAGCAGCGATCTTCTGCTCCAGCTGGTTCTGACGCAGAGTGCTGCCCATCGGGCGTTTCGCTGTCACAAGGAATCTGATGAGGTGGCACAGAAACACTACACGTCAGCCCTTCAGCTATTCCGAAAAGGCGTTACCGATTTTATTGACGGGAAAGAGTCAAACCCGCTCATGCTGACGGTAGGGGCATTGGTGATGTGCTTTACAGAGGTATGTCTACATTACAAGATAACTGAACGTGGCTAATTGCTGCAGACGGCCAAAGGCGATATGAATGGCACGATATTCGACCATCTGACTGCTGCTAATTCTCTTCTGATTCGACTGCTCTCACAAAGCGATACAGCGGTACCGAAAGACCTAAAAGACTTTGTTATCGAATACTACACCTACACTGCTGCTGTGAGCATGATCTCGGTTGATGCTCGCGTCAGTACTCAACTGTTCTTGAACTTCGATCTCGAACAGAGGGCGCGTCAGCTGCTGCAATCGGAATACGTGGGAAATCTATGTGGTTGCTGGCTGGAGTTGTTACTACTGATACCGTGCATTTTCGACCTAGGTCGGCAGTGGATGATGCACGATGGCCGACCAGCTATGCCCACTGCGGATGATATTGCCATGTTCAGCTCACTGCAAGTACAAATAATGCGATGGACACCATATGCCTCGGTCAGCCCGGAGGTATTCCTAGCAGGGCGGATCTTCCAGCAGGCAATGCTCCTTTACCTGTACACCGCGCTAGGCGGGTTCTCCCGGGCGGAGAACGGCATGTATCAGGGATTGATCGAGACCGCGATTACAGAGGCGATGACTTATCTAGGGCAGCTGTCTGGGACCGCGCGGATCAACTCCGGTCTCTGCTGGCCAATCGCTGTAGTGGGGTCGTGCTTAACCAACGCAGAACACCAGGATAGTCTACGCCGCCGACTCACCGTCATGGTGAATACGTTTGGACTCGGCAACATGCAAAGAACTCTACTCATACTGGAACACATGTGGCAGATGCCGCTGGACGAAACCGGCCCATGGAACATCTGCCGCGCCATGCAGCGGAATCAAATATGGATATCGTTTGCCTGATCAACCAGTCTATCATACAATCATCACTCATAGCATCCTGACCAGACAGGTCGTTGCTTATTGACCCAAGTTCTTGGGGGCTTCAGTAGCAGGGCCCTCAGGAGTCACATACGCCTTGGTCAGACCACCATCGACGACGAAGTCAGCTGCGTTGACGAAGCTGCTCTCATCGCTAGCCAGGAAGATGACGGCGTGAGCCTGCTCAATGGCCTCTCCGAAACGACCAGTGGGGAAGTGAACCTCACGACGGAAGCGCTTCTCCTTGTCGTCACCGAGCCAGTCCTGCAGAAGGGGGGTGCTGCATTCATTAGCTTCATCCCAGCATGCACGGAGGGTATATACTCACTTAAGCGGAGCGGGACACAACGAGTTGAACCGGAAACCTGCATCATCACCATCAGCACCATCCCACACACACAGCAGCAGCAGCAGCGCAGCAACTCACCCTCCCTAGCATGCACAATGGCCAACTCGCGAGTCATAGCCAACACCGCACCCTTACTAGCCGTATACGCCAACTGAGGCGTAGCAGCACCAACCAAAGCAACCATACTGGCCGTGTTGATAATACTTCCCTTCTTTTTGCCATGCTTCCTCAGACTCTTGACAGCATGCTTGCATCCATACCACACACCCTTGACATTAATGTTCATGGTCAAGTCCCAGATCGCCTCGGGAGTCTCCTCCGAGTCGCCATCCTTAGCATGCATAATACCCGCGTTGTTGAAAATGACATCCAATCCACCCCAGGCATCCAAATGTCCCACGGCAGCTTCCACATCCGCCTCCTTGGAGACATCGACAACGCGGGTCTCCACCTTGCCGGAGCGCTCGGGCACAACCTCGTTCACTTTGTTCAGGGCCTTTTCGAGCCCGGGGCCGCTGATGTCGGTCATCAGGACGGAGGCGCCCTCGCGGAGCATGAGGATGGTGGTTTCGAGACCGATGCCACTGCATGAAACAGTACTGTCAGCTCATTGCTTCCCAGGGGAAAGAGAGAGAGAGAGAGAGAAATACCCCGCAGCACCAGTAACGAGCGCATTCTTTCCAGCAA